GCAGACATGGACAGGGGTCAAGAGGGAGAGAAAGAGAGGCAAAAACTGGGTATGGTACATCTGAGATATCCTTGATTATTTGCTGTAATATTGAAGGGGAGATTAGAGTATGTATTAGAGGGATTTTGTTTTTTTGTATTTCCTTGCTGGAAAATCCATTGTAAGCCGCTAGCTTTGTTTGAAAACTCTGTGGTTGGTTTCTAGCTGGTTTAAGCTAATAGATCATGTTAGACCGACAATAAACCAGCTACTTATCAGTCTAACATAGTCAAGATTGTTTTTGGAACATAGTGGTAGGTCAACCAACTAATGACCAACTTGGACCAACAAGAAGTCAAATTGAAAGTTATGTGACTATGAAAAGATCACAATCATCATTTATTACATTTGTGTGTACATGTGATTGTGTGACGCTTATACTGTCTGATGACGAGATAAAATAACAGTGGTTTTCCTGCCTGCTCTTTTTTTTTCAGCCTGTAACGTCACCATCCACAACCGCTGCAGGGACACGCTACCAAACTGTGTCAAAATGAAACAAAAGGTGGGATATTAGTGCACACACTTGTCACATGGTTTACTTGGATCATAGTCATGCAGACACTGGCTTTGATTGATGGTATGATGTAGAAGAAATGAATCAAAATTGGGTCAGTTTTCTTCATATGGTTTATTAAAAAGATTTAGTCTAAATATGTCATAAATTTGATCTCTCTGTATGTGTGTCACAATAGCAACAGAAAATGGCGCTGATGAGGAACAATTCGGCCTATCAGAATGTGACACTGAGGAATAAAGGTGAGGATGTGATGGAACCAAGTGCACTGTTTACATCTGGTATTAGCGTGTCTGAGGTTATGTGTATCCTGTGACCGATTGTGATTAGATATCATTGAGAACATTATGTGAATATGACTGACCAAAACTGAGTAATACCAGGTCTAAACATGACATTGCTCTCTTTGTTCTGCCTCTCTGAAGCCCATTTAAAGGAACGGCCAAGCTCTGCCATCTACCCATCAGACAGTCTTCGCCAGTCACTACTCGGGTCCCGTCGTGGGCGGTCTTCTCTCTTACTTTCCAAGAGCGTCTCCACCAATAACATTGCAGGGTGAGTGACACAAATGACAGACAGGTGCATAAAATGGGGCTCTTATCTGTGGGCTATACCATCAAATCACTAAATTAAGAAGTTCCTAGTTTATAAATACTGTACTGTAAAAAATTAAAAGAAAAAAAATGCAATTAAAGACACATTAATCTTGTGTCGTGAAATATCTGCTGTATATATATATATATATGTAGAGAGAGACCATTCTCATCACTGTGTATTTTTTTTAATCTTTTTTTTTTTTTTTTTTTTT